CAGGGAGATTCGCAACGAATGAAATAAATGGCTTAATCTTACTGAGTCTCTGACTTCGCAACGAAATTCGTTACGCCTGCAACTTTAATAAGGCTCACGATGTGACGAGAAAATAATGCTCTACGTCTGGCGACGGCGCAAAATTTTGATCGTGCTGGCAAGAAACTTGTCTAGAAAGCCATCTCTTCGGACAACGGTAATATTTCCCAAGGCTGACGAGGGGTGCTCGATGGCTCTCCAGGATACTGAGAACGCATCAAAAATTCACGGAGTAACGTAAATGGTAGTTCTGGGAAAAGCAGCTTGCCGTACGCGCTGGAAATATTCTATGAGAACTCCTAAAAGATGTAAAAACATTGCTGGAGCGTTTTTGTGTGTTTCTTGAGCGCTCATAAAGCTGTAATTTTTACAGAACACTCCAGAACATGTGCCGGGATACTCAATGAATATTCAATGGCGCAACGGAAATTAACATGTTATAAAATAGATAATATAACAAGCGAGAGTCATGAGCATGAATTACGTTATATTGTCGGACTTGTTGCTCGTTTGAGTGTGATGAACGCTTGCACGTGGCATTAAGAAGCGCATTATAATTTTATTGTCACGATGCAGAAGATAACGTAATTATCGTAAATTTCTCTTTTAACTTGCAAATACGAGTTTCTTTTACGAGACTTGCTAAAAAGACAGAACCTCAAGATTAATAAGAGATTAATGCAATTTAAATATTTTTTGCTTCCGCCAACTTCCCTTCTCGGGATAGCCACGAGAAGTTCCGAACAGTACACTTCAGAATAATTTCTCGGCTGAACCTCAACGCGCGAAATTCAACGCGGGCTTAAAAGAATATAATTAAAACATCAGTTGTGTCTTGCGTCGATAGAAAATTGTAGAAGATGTCCAGGATAAGTCCAGCTAGGCTTATCCCAGACATCTCTGTTACACGTGGTTATCCAACGGTCATCTCGTCATCTCATTCTTCTCATAACGCGAGGAATTCTTCAGCTCGTTCCACGCTCATGTGTTATCGCATCACGTTCACGGTGTTCTCAGGTGCGCGAGTAACCGTGTTGTACGAGCGCGAGCTAGAAAAGCGACAGAAAACCTCGAGATAATCCTCGAGACTGTCTGTCTGTCGGGCGTCGCGAAGAAATCGCGATGTCGTCAAGTTTCGTCGTGGCCGCGAAGAAACGGGCTTTCATACGCGGCGATGCGGTGATCAATAATTAGACTTTGCCGCGTCCGTCGGAGCGAGCACGCATGCTCCGCTCTCGGGGGCGCGCGACCGGAGTTCCTACGTGGCATCATTGATAAAGTTTCGATGCTGTTGCGTCCGCCGGCTGGATGGAACTTCCCTCTTCGTCGGCTTCCTCAAGAGCGCTGAATTATCAGCGTTTAACCGGTGCGATGAACCCTCCCCGTGGGATTGCAGAGAGCGGAGAGCGCGAGAACGAGAGGACGCGCACTTCTTCAACCGCGAAAGCGCAATTCCGTCGTTCCTCTCTCGCGGGGGAACTTTGTCAGCCGCCACGTCCGTCGCCTCGTACAAACACGACGACGACGTACACGCTGCGTTCGGTGATGTATACCTTTGCACGAGGCCAATGTACACAATGACGTGTAATCCCGAGAGAAAAATTATTCCATACGAAAATACGCCGAGTTTGTCGGAGAGATTCCACGGCGCAATTTTACAGACGCGCATACATTCATGTTAATCGTTACGATTGTTACTATAAATGAATCGCTAATCATACTAAAGGCGGTATTCCTCTCGCTGATAATTGAAAATTTTCCTGAATACCTAAGAGAAAGAAACCTAACAGAAAGAGGAAAACTCTATTTATTTTTGAGCTCACATTATAGTTGACACTATATTTGGTTAAGTATAAATGATGCATTATTTTTAAGGGACGGCGGTACCTTGAGACTCCAATACGGTATCTTGAGATTGTGCCGCTGTTGTGTGGCCTGCAGTATATTGATTTACGTATTTTTGAACGACCTACCATTCTTATACTGGGTAAGATAGATTCGACAGTTCGGTCCAGCGCGCGAATTACCTGTGAACTTTCCGTGCCATTAACCCAGCGACTCTAAAAGCGCAATGACCGTTCTCGCGCAGAATGCACGTGTAATGAGCTACGCGACGCGGAAACTCGCGCTGACGATCGAAGCGATTATTACGAATCGTCGGAATCGTGTTTTCCATAATGCGACGCTTGCGCGCAATCGCGGGTAATTGGTCGTGGGTATCCGGGCACAAAGTTTCACGCGGTTTGATACGAACGAGTGTGTCATAAAGCTCGCGCCACAAGCTCGAAATTTAAAAAGACCTAAAGAATAAACTCGAGACGATATTGTGATGAAAAATATAAGGAAGGAAATATGAGATTCATTTTTTCAGTTTGCGTTTAAGCTCAATTTGTGTCGCTCGCAGAGTTAAAGTCCTATATTCTTGCTGTGTGCGAGATGAGAAGTAATCATTCTAAAAGGATCAAACCAGAAATGTAGAATGAAACGCGATGGACCATCTTTTTCAACTTTTGCTCAATATCTTTGGAGCGTCTTGATTGTCTCGTGTGAAAAGGATTTATGCGGATTTAATTCGGAACTGTCCCTCACCATCCAAGGTTCTCTCCATCATCCAAGGTGCACCGCCGCGAAATACGAGGTGACTTCCCGCAGACATCATCTTATTGCTTCACTTTATCGAGAGATTACAGTTTCAAGAGTAAAATTGTGCCTTCTATCTCTGATCAGCGTCCATTGAAGTACGCGCTGGCTGATTACTGACTAGCGGTTGCTAATAAACGACAGCTCGGTATTCCGTGTGGATCGAACCTGATCGAATTGGGTCGAATCAGGACGCGCATATCCTTTCGTGCGCGACGTCACACTGTCGGCCTGAGATTCGCGAGGGAGGGACTTCACGTGTCTCGAGATTTTTCGATCGTAAAGCTGGAATATCACGTGCTACCGGTAACAAATGCGAATCACCATTTATTTTGCATGTGAACGTAAAGAGAACGTTCGTAATAACGCCCCTCTGCCGGAGCATGAAATACATAACGCAATAAAGTATTGACGTGCGTCCTGAAATATTCACGCGAGCGCGTTCAACACTCTCTCAATTCTTCCGACGTCTTTTCATTATCCAAATAACTGTTAAACAGATGTAAATTCCGGACGGCAAATTGAGCGAGACAAACACGCGATTCGGCGGATATACATTCGTCAGCTTCGATTTCTTCTGCTAACGGTGTTAACTATTTTGAGCGAACCGCAGAAGTGATAAAATCAATGAGGACGTCGATCCCCCCTCTCTCTCTCTCTTTAATGTTTCACCGATAAAGCGACCTATTCTTCCTAAGTCCATAAATAAAAAAATAAGAGAATCAGTTTCTGTGTTTCTTTTTTTTCGTGGTTTAATCTTGTCATTTTTTATTGATTTTGCAATGGCGGTTCGGAAATATCTCCGATACTCCTCATGACCTCGATTGTCATCCGTCGCGAAGGCGCATAATTTTGCGTACGAGCGAGGTGAGGTATAGAGCGGAGTTCCTATAACATCGTAGGACCTTCAAGATTTAATCCTCACGTTCGCTTGATCTAATAATCCATTCCCGTGCAAGATTACACATTAGATAAGCTCGCGTTACGCCGCCCCACTTTGGCCTGCAACCATTAATCTCCTTGCAGATGAGCTATTCGACGTAGTAAAAATTTAATTGCCCATAGCTCGCCGTATCGTATGTCGACGTATTTACTACAACAATGAGGATCGAACCTATTACGAGGATCGAATCTGTTACGACATCGGGGATCAATCTTTTTTACTCAAAATGACGACTGGGTTCTCGAGGAGTTCAGCTGAACCACTGAACTGTCGGAGAGATTGACGAAGCTTTCCCAATATGTATAGCTGACATATGAAGAAATATTTGATGAAATTTTATAAAAAATACACCCTGCCGTGTGCGCGCACCTAATTTCACGTCGAGTCGATCGTCAATCAAACTTCGTATTTCTGACGTTTAACGTCCCGCCATTAATCCATGAACACGGGCGCGCGATTTTTTCTCATGTAAACGCACGAACGAGGGCTGGCTCGATAACTGGCGCAAAGCAACCCCCGCGATAGTATATGAAAAAAAATGTTTCGAGCAGAGCTCGAATGTGATGTTCAAAACGCTTCATAACTATGCGCGTATGTGGGGGAAAAAAAGGTCGAGTTTTCTCGATAATTGGAGAGAATGCCGAAACCGAGTTTCGAACGTATTTTTTTCCCCACTCTTTTTGTTCGGGCGTCGAGCACGGGGGTGAAACGCAGCAAGGTGGGAAGCTGGAGATACGAGAGGCGCATGCGTTGTCACGGGAGTGGCACCGTGTAGAATCGCTAGAACGGCCGCGTTGAGCTGGGCAGACGGTTCGCGAAACAACGACAGTAGTGCAGGGTTCCACGAGGCAGCCATCCCTCGTGGCAAACCCCTCGCCGTCGTCACGTTAAGGGATTGTGTGTGTGTGTGCGCGCGCGCGCGCGCACATCGCTCCGTTCGTCACCGTCGTCGTCATCGTCGTTGTCGTCGTCGTCGTCGTTCAGCTGACTCGACGCACTCTCACCGTGCACGAAGGAGCTCCTCCAGGTGTTTCGGGACAGCTGTCCTCGGACACGTCGTGAGCTTCTCGGGACGGTCGAGTGCGGTGTGATCGAGGAGTGTGGTACATCTCGAGTGAGCGGCCTGAGAAGGAACGTCCGCGTTTCCGGTGTCCCATATAAAGTGCCGCGAGATGTACGTCGTCGGTGGGCTCGTTTGCTCGTGGTGTATACCGGAGAACCGTGCTTCCTCCTTATAGTGCGTGCGAGGTGGTGCATATAGGTGGTGATATCGCGCTGCGGAATCGACTACGACGACGACGCGATCGCTGGCGATAGAGCGCCGTCGATTCTGTCCTTCGGTAAAGATGGTACGATCCGGTGTGACACGCTAATTTCGCTCCCTCATCGACGTAGTTTCATCGATGGTAGCGCGTTCGCTTGAGACAACCCTTTTTGGTTGCGGGTAAAATTCGCTCTCGGAGCTTCACCGTCCGGCTGAAGTGCACCGCGGTTGACGTGAAAACAACAACGTCTTGATAGGCGTTTAAATCCCAGCCGCGTTCCAGACGCGTGCGGATCCGTGCGCCGCATATTAGGTCGGTTTCTTTTCTCACGTGAGGACAGGTTGCTACCTGAGTTTCTAGAACAAACTGCGTCGGCATTCGATCGGCCTTCGCGAATAGACAAGAGGCAAGAAGAAAGAGTGGTGTAAAAGGGTAGGAAGCGCAGCCAGAGATCCGACGGACTTTCTCGTATAATGCGCTTATCGATCAAAATTCAATCGCGTTCGGGGAAATCAGGAAAACGTGGTGCTGTGAGTTTCACCTCGTGTCTCACGTGTGTCTTTCTGATCCATTCCAATTAAACCGTGCACGTAGCTCGATACTTCGTTTTTGCCCCACATTCACCCCACATATCTTTACGGGCGCGTCAAGGCGGCTCTCTCTCTGTTTCTGATTCGAGCGTTTCTGCAATACAGATTGATTAGCACGAGTGTCTGACATTTCGCCGGGACAATGCGAGTGACCGAAAGTTGCGGTCAATCAATGCGCGCTCCTTCGGATTTCGGGAGCGAAATTACGCAGATTCAATCGGGAACTCCTCCAAGTTCATGCCCCGCGTCGCTCCGGATTTAGTTTCGTCGTATTTGCAAACGAACTAGTTTAACATCGCGCACGATGACATACCGATTGTACTTTTACCATCAATGAATATCGATGCATTTGAATTCAACAGATACTCGCGTAGATCGCGGAAGGTTCGATCGTCGGTCCGCCTCTGTGATCGTGGAACTTTTATCAGTCCTACGTCCGCTTTTAGGCAATATCGAGGGACGGAAGTCGTGGCGTGTAAAATCTCGGTCACGACAAGCGTGACTGATTGCTTTCACTGCACGCGCGAAGCGAGTCGTTCTTGTCGCCGTGAAAATCGAATTTTCTCGCAGAAATTCCCCCGGTAAATTAATTCCATTACCTCGACGCGGGTACACTTAAAGTGCATCTGATAATTTTGCGCAACGTTTGATTGAAAGGAAACGATTGCCCGCGGCGAGACAAACGACCGGATAGGAATTTCAGCGGTGAAGCTGAACAGTTCGAGCGCCGCATACATTTTCTTAATTGCATATCGTAATCGACCGGTCGTGATCGGATTAAGTGACCGAGTATTTTATCGGTTCCGCCGCGACCGCCGTCGCGGTAAAAATCGATATCGGTATCGGCTCTCGGCCAACTTATCGCCGTTATCTGCACTTCGTTAGGGTGATAAACCAACTCGCGATTGCTTTCCCGCATTCTATACGCGCAATCGAATATTCCAAAGACTTCCACTGCATAATTACCTTTCGTGTATTAAATCGCACAGTACCGTCAGTTTACAGTATGTAAACAACGAGTGTATATATATCAGATGCCCCAAATAATGCACTGAGAGAAAGAGATGGTCGATCTGACTAAAATTATTGGTATTTTTGGTCCCTACCAAGTTTTATGGCCGTTCCAACACGAAAATGGTAGTAGTAACATGTATACAAGATTATTATCACAAACATTGTAGTAGAATTTAATTAAAAAATGATTTTCTTCACCAAAATTTATAGTAACTATTTCTCCATGCGATCACAGTTACAAATGTCAAACATTTTTTCTCAGTGTGAGATTACGTGAGAGAACCTTCCGTGATCTATATGGACGCACGTATATTACACGTATGACGTGGTGCGTGGGCATCTACATTGTGCTGCTTGTAACAGGTGGTACAGCTGTATAGATACGGCGAAAGAGAAAGAGAGAGAGAGAGAGAGAGAGAGAGGGAGAGAGCCAACAAGAATGTTTCCGCAATTTTGTTGGATCTCCAGTCGACGCGAATTTTATTTGATATGCAGCTCGAGCGCAAAGTGTCACAATTAATTAATATGTTACAGACCTACAGTTTGATAAAGTCTCCATGCATTATCGATGAATCATACGTGTACCAAATCGCGACACTCTACGACCGATTAATTAGTCCGGCAATATTCGACGCGACGTTATTGTGTGTTATCATACGTGTAAATATTGAATCCCGCTTGCGAAACTTGTGAATGAGATTTGCGAGCGTCAAGACGCGATCGCGACGGTTTCGCTCGCGACCGCGCGATTAAGTCATCGACTTTTCAGAGTCGTAGGAAGGGTGACGCGCGTCCGAAGGGAGCATCGCGAGATACAGTCGAGAGCGAGAAGGATATCGCGCGGGCAAACCGAGGAACGGCCGATCATGAATCACGAGAACGGTTGAGGGCAGTATGTGCGCGTTACGACAAGAGGCGGCAGAGGTGAAAGTGAAAACGACGATGAAGAAGAGAGAGTGGCGCTTCTAATTGGAGGATGAACGGATTTTTCAACTCCCTGAAAAACCTCGCGTCCGGTGGCGCGCACGCTGGCGGCTCTGCCTCGAGATACGAGGAGCTGGAAGGTGACGATTCCTCCTGTAAATCTATCTCTATCTCGCATGCTAATGTCCCCTCTGCGCGTGACACGTGCACAATCGCGAGTCCCGTAATGCAGCAGCTGCACGCGCACGACCTACGTGCGCGCGCTAAATGTTCGCAAATTAGGTTCCCCTAAGTGACACAGCACAAACTCTACTGCATGTCTCAGCGTTATAATGTTAACCCGATACACTTCGAGAGAAACGTGCGGCTCGACGCGCTTTTGTTGTCAATCGCGGGACACGCGGTTATTTTCGCCCCCTAGTCTCCTCTTCCCCCTCGTCTAGATACAAAGCACGCACACGCCATATAACTGAACGTGCTTATTTCGTTGCCGCGTAGAAAATTGCCTGTAGATTGCTTTTTTCGACAAAAATATACACGCGACGCAAGGTAAAGATATAATAATACACAACAAATTGCGCAACCAGGAATGGTGTTTGTTTAACGTATCGAAACGCTGAGAAGGGAGAGCGCGCTTTTATATTCTGAATTAATTATCGCTCGCTTTGATTTCCGCAACGCCACGATTTAGCGCGCAAATACGCGCAAACGAAATTGGAGCAGATGCTTCTACGTGCGTACGACGTTATTGAAGCGAATCGCAGAGAGACTGCACGCGTTCACTGCAATTTCCGCGGGAGAACGGAATGCCACTCGCACGTCTACAGTTACGACATTCTGTGTTTGTCTACGCTGGAATATTCATAAAATGTGGCGCATTTAATTTGCGGCTGACTCAACGAGCTTTGTATTGTCCCCGTGTTACTTCGTGGCGATACAATTTATGACTATATCCTTACGTGTAATTTGTAATAAGCTACCTCGACCACATAAATTTTCATGCATCGTATACTTGAGTCAATTTTGCGGGAAAGAAAAGTCTAACGGAACGCGCAGGAGCTTCTGTTTATTTTTCTGCAGCAGCGCGTGGCAAATAACCCGCAGCGGTCTCGCCGCTGCGTTCCGCAATTTCCGAGGGTATACGCACGTGCCTAAACAAAAGACGGAACACGTAACGTAGCCGGCGATAATTCGCAAGTAACAGACGCGCGCGCCTTCGTCTCGGTAGTGCAAAGTACAAATTGTTGCACGCGCGAGTTATATCGATTTCACGGGCCGGCGCGTTTAGCCGCCGCGGTTTATTCAGCCATTAATAGAAATCTAGCGTAAATCGAACCGAGCTCGCTCACTCGTAGATGCTACAAGATGACAATAAGCGATATTGGCGTCGTTGTGCCGATTCACTCGCGTAGAAATTGGATATTTTCGAGGTTGGACGCGTCTCACCATACCACACCGACACGTGCAACACTCACGGCGCCGACGAGAACGCGCGGAAAACTGTGTTTATCCGGCATACTGTGTGTACCCTCTCGACATTTTTTTTTTCTTTAGTTACTTCTACTCGAGCGCTATCCCGGCGGCAATTCGCTTCGTTCGGGGTTGTCATGGAAACGATCATGCAACGACCCCTTCGTTTAATAAATGTTAAAGGCGTTCGAGAGAGCTTGCTTTACTTTGCGACTCCGTCAGTCGTTCGTGCTCAATTGAACAGGTCGCAGTGGCTGCTGCAACTTTGACAGTTGAGTATTCGAGTTGAACGCCACGACGTTCGCGCGCTTACTTCAATTTGACTTTCTCGAGTGCTTCCGTTTAGACTTAAGGCAAACAAGCGATTTTCCGTGCTCCCACCATTTCACAACGCAAAGTTTCCCCCGTAGTACGTATTCCACATCGACTCGCTGCGAAAAAAAGACATAGCTCTCGAAATCATCATGTGCTGCTCAAGATAGATATAACGATCCTCGCCACTATTCGTTTTAATGTGGCGTCAAGTTTTTGTCATGGATTTCTGAATTTCAGTCGAAGACACGAAAATGAGGTTCAGTCTGACTCCGCAGCCAGGGGAAAGTGGTTTCATACAATGGCTAGACGCGATGAAGATGGTCGCCAGGTTGCAAGGAGGAATACCGCCGGAATTCCGAAAAAGAGTGCGTGTCACGTCGAATACACTGAGCCTGCAAAATTAAGGATCTGATGTGTGGCATGGGAATTTTCTACGGTTCCTAATATAAATTTTAGTGTGGTGAAATCAAATTAAAATATATATCACTTCCAGATCTTAAGAAAACTGAAGTTAGAATCCCGAAAATTTTAACAATCTTTCAGTTGATATAATTTTGGAAGAGTATACATAGCTGAAAGCTTCACTAGGGCTCAAAATGAAACTTTTAGTTAACACTTTTATGGGAGAAAATAAAACTAAAGTCCTCTCAAATTATTCTTTGAAATTAAGGGAGGGAGAGTGTTGAAATAAAATGTAAAACTTTGTTGTTAGTACTATTATATACTATATATATATATATATATATATATATATATATATATATATATATATAATATACTATATATATAATATTATATATAATTCCAGAAAGTAATACGCGGTATACAGTTTTATTTTTTTCAATAAAACTATCAAATAAAAACTTTATTTTGAATTCAAGTGAAGCTCTCAATTATGTGTACTTCCAAAGTTATGGCAACTGAAAAGTTGTTAAAATGACCTGTTTTTTGGGAATCTAACATCTCAAAATCTAAAGGAGAATTCAACACACCAAAATCTATCAGGAATGACAGAAAATTCCCATGCCACTTATCGGACTCCTAATTTTGCAGGTCAGTATTATTGACCTTCAATAAATAATTACGAGTCGCTCGCAAAAATCTAAACAGAAGTAGTTCCCGTACGTTTGCCTTGCGAATGGCCATAAGTAAACTCTGATGTTTTTCTACAGTTGTGGCTGACGCTAGCGGAACGTCATCTGGAACAACGGGGCGTAGATTGGAAGCAGGCCGAGAAGGTCTGTTTCAACGAGTGGAGTAATCCCGACGACGAAGAGCTCGGCATACAAATCGTGAAAGTACGTGCCTACAGTATTGTCCAAATACATTCAGCCGGTAGCATTAACGTCGACACGGACGCCTCGATGCAAGTGATTTATATGAAGAGTTAGGACAGTGTTTCTCCTTTCACCTGTGCACTGTAACAAACATGAACGTTGACAAATGTCAACGTCAGTCGTACTGACCGCTTTCATGTGTCGTGTCTTTTATTTTATTCTCTTTTTATTCTCGATATTCTTCCACTTCGATTTTCCCGACTTTTCCGCGAGAATCCGAACTTCTTGTTTCCACAGAAACTGTGTGTGTATATGTGCGTGTTTTCCTTTTACACTTTGATGACATCATCCTGGCGACATGCGCTCGCAGTTTGTCGTGCTATCTCCGAAATGAAGGGCGACCCGGTTAATTTCACAAGAACGTCTTCGGATGCTAAGCTCTCCGCGAAGAGTATTTACGGAGAAACAACGGCGCATTTACTTCGATGCATCTTGTCATCTCCGTTGAGATAGAGAGATAGATATATATAGAGAGAAAGAGAGAAATAGGGACGAAAAATACCGAGCCACGACGAAAGTAACTCAGCGCTGTATCGTGAAGCGTTACGAATGATTAAAGCAGATAAAACGCGGAGAGCTAAAAATTAGTCGCGGAGAATGGTGCAATTTGGATCAATGCCGCCGTGCAAATTGGTATATGAGTCGGCCTTCTAAAAATACCCGCAATCCGATACCCATTTGATCGCGTCCGCTTATATCAGCTTCTTGCGCGTTTATAGAGCAACCTCGGCTCTTAGTTCTAATTATTATTAATTACGCTCAAGTAAGCCCGGTGATCGTCCATCACCGTAATGACGAGTAATTAACCTTCGCCGATTGCTTTTGTAATTAATGCTCGCCCACGTAGGGTTACATGCTCGCGTGAAAGTTTTCCGCTTAGGTTGACACCCGTCGCTCTTCGATTTCCGTTCGTTTTGTTCGCTTTTATCGAAGATCGGCGATCCCCGGCGGACTGATTATCTATTCGATATGATGGAAATTCAACAGATCGCAAGATACATTGTGAAAAGAGCGGGACTTGTCGAAATTATGTGACAGACATACAATCATAACCGATCATTCGACAAGGCAATCTCCGATCAGAGTCGTCGTCGATAAAGGATATTACAATTCGCAGGACCTGCACAGGACAGGCTGCAGCCTGTTCTGCGGGGCTGCCGGCCGGGACAATCAGGCTGTGCTCCGTCGGGTGCTGCTCGGCTTCGCCCGGTGGAACAAGTCCGTCGGCTATTGTCAAGGTCTGAATGTCTTGGCCGCCCTGGTGCTGCAGGTGATGGACCGCGCGGAGTCATCGGCCGTGAAGGTGATGATATATCTGATAGAAGGCGTCCTGCCTGAGGGCTACTTCGCCGATAATCTGCGCGGCTTGTCCGTGGACATGGCGGTGTTTCGAGACCTTCTGCGTTCGCGGTTGCCCAAGTTGTCCAAGCATCTCGAGGCGCTCCAGAGTGACGCGAAGGACAAAGCGACTGGTGAGAGAAGAGCGTCGGTTCGATAGAACAAATACTCGAAAAAGCGGATGAGAGTAAGAAATACAGGGAGAGATGAACCCCTGGTATTACCGGAGAGATTGAAACGCGCCTCGTCGAACGCGTATCCGAGCGTGGTTTTGGCAGTAATAACAAAGTCCTCTTGTGTAAATATTCCCACGATGACCCTCCGAAGAAGGGTCCGATGACAAATAATTGAAACTGACGCGTCGATTCATTCACGTGCGGAACCCGCGTACCTAGCAAATCTGTTGAATCATGAAGCACGCAATTTGACTGCGGCGCCGTCAATCATTGAATGATTTAATTTCACTCGACCGCACCGTCATTATCGCACTTCACCCGATCGTTATGGACGATAAGTGATTCGCCGTGGCTTTTCAGGTAGCAGCTATGAGCCGCCGCTCACGAATGTGTTCACTATGCAATGGTTCCTCACGCTCTTCTGCCATTGCTTACCGCAGGAAGCGGTGCTTCGTGTTTGGGATCTGATATTTCTCGAAGGTGATGAAGTACTCCTTAGAACGGCACTCGCTATCTGGGAAGGCCTCTCCGAGTGAGTCCAAAATTCAGATCGAACTCATTAATAAAGTTTACGCATTCAAGCCGATAATCTTTCCGACGAGTATACGTGTGCATGTGTTAGTGTGTGTGTGTATGTGTATGCGTACGTGCGAGCGACCAGTAGATGAAGTAACAATTAATCGTTCTTGTAGTCGCATAATGACCGTGACATCAGCGGACGAGTTCTACAGCATAATGGGAGTGCTTACGCGAGAGATGCTCGAATTCACTGACACGAACAATCTCATAAAGGTTGGATATCTGGCTACAAAGCTCGGTAATAACGATATAGTCGAGTGTCTCGTCGGGAGATTGATTACGTTTTAAGCTATACTTCAGGAACAAAAAAAAAATATATATATATATATATATATATATATATATATATATATATATATATATATATTATTCTTGTATCAAATTGATCTGTTCTCCGACGAGGAATTAGCATCCTTCTGACTATCAATTATCGTTCTGTTTCGTAAGCGGCATGATTTATTTATTTGCACTTTACTTCAATAGAACATCGTCAGCATGGGACCCTTGCACGGTGTAACGAGTTTGAGAGAAAAACATCGATACAATATCACCCCATGGGCGCGGAAACTGAGTGACGACGACGACAGCGAGACGGAAGAAGACGAGAGACTTGCTGTGGCGGCTGCCATGTTTAGCATGGCCCAGCGTATAAAGAAAGGTGAATGTTGTCCGAGAAATTCGAGGATGTCTCGCGACGATATCGAAATCAAGAGCGCGCTGGTTACGTGTTTCATCGATTTTGTATTTTCAGATCGTCTACCATCGACAATAGGAGCGTTACAAGCAATAGCACCCAGCAGCGATCGGGAACGACTTGCCCTAGATATTAGCACGCTGAAGCAGCAATATGCTAAACTGCGAGAGCGGCAGCGACAAGCGCACATAATACTTTCCGGTAATGGCAAATAGAAAAAGCTTCGCGAGATCTGGTTTAATTGACTGCTGTGAATTAAAGGAAATTAGTCTCTCTTCCACAAAAAAGAGAACTAAAGAAATACATTATTAGAAAATTCGCTGAGATTTATAAACAAAATCCGGTTATTTTCATAATTTGGAAATTTATATTTCAATACATTCTTTTTAATTCATAGCAGGTGGTCATATATTTTGTAAAAGTTTATTCGATCCGATGTGTGGGAAGAACAAAACGCCACAAAATAATAAATTAATCATGTCGGGCATGACATTATAATGCAATATGCATATGCATTATGATTAGACAAAGATTTGGCAGCAATTACTCTATTGTTAACGCTGCTACAAATTATCGAGAGGTTACCATGTGATGGTGGCGTAGGGCGGAATTGGGTTGCGCGTTTCCAGCTTGTACTTTTACGATCGACCCAACGTGTGCGTAATTCTGACGTAGATGTTTCACGAGGTAGCTTTACGGGTGGCAATACGTTCGGCATGGTTACTATTTCGCTGGCCGACAACACTCGGTCATTCCATATTCATGAATGAAACGCATCAGGCTCACGTACGCCTTTACGGCTATATACCGCTGTCATATTTCGATCCGCGTAAGAATACGAAATAACCATGCCGTGACCTTTGAGGATGTTATGACCTATCACGTAAAAACCGTGAGCTGCAACTCCACGCTCTTCTGCGCGCCAAAGTAGCGGCTTCACGGAGGCCTTTGACGGGCGAAGAAAACTTATACGATCGGCAAAGTTTAATTGACATACGTCTTGATATATTTCAAACGGAAGCCAGATTTCCATCCGAACTCGGAATTTTGCACACTTATGTGACTTTTGAAATCGATATCTTGAAATATATGAATTATAATGAGGAAACGCGCAGCTGATTCACACAAGTTATGCAAATCAGGAGTGTCTATTAGCAGTAAAGAAGTAAAGAAGAAGAGAGGATATAGCGTAGTTGCACGACAGGCTGTTGTAAATTGATTGATTTTGACGATAATTTCTGCCTCCAGAGTAAAAAGAAAATGTAATATCGCAAAAGTGCAACAATTTTGTTATAAACATAAGAAGGTTGAAACTACTAGGATTATGTTTCAATCGATTTAATCGGATAACAAAATGCACATCACTCTTGTTCTAACCGACTCGTTGTGTTCTAACACAGCCGCATGTGCGAGACAGACCTTGGTACCTCCGCCTACTTCCACGGCTATGAATCATCTGTTAGTGGGCAAAAATGCCCTCGTAAGTGGAAAGAGTCGGCCATTGAGTTTGCAGTCTGCCACTGCCACGTCGAAGTTACGACCGGCGGCCCTTCACAGCCCGAGAAGTCAAAGCCGCAGGGAGAGACAGGGTGTCACGCTTCACTGGAAAGACACGAAAAGACCGAAACAAAGAGCTGGCGATGCTGGCGGTAAGTGCAATGAATTATTCGATAAAATTTTTATAAAAAAAATTTTTCTAAAGATATATTGCGGAATATTGTAGAGATGTTTAAAAATAATTTTTCAACGAAGCGTTTATTTCCTGCGCAAAAGATATTTATATGTGATATCAAATGCTTAAAAAATATTATAAATATGTGCCTGCAGAAATTGAACAATTAACTTTTTCTATGAAAATTATATGTGTGTGTGTGTGTGTTGTGTGTGTGTGTGCGGGCAATTAATATTAAAAATATTATAAAATCGATGAAAGAGACGTGTCTCTTTAACAAAATATTTCGCGTACCAATTGGTTTTTTTTTACCAAAGAACTACCAAAATTTATGAAAACGCAAGTAAAAATGCACAACAACAATAAGTTACACAAGGATCAACATTAATTATTTCTATCGATCCTGTAGCATCACAGTTACTGCACTGACCTATCCATGGCAAGTGCATCGCGACAGAGAGTAACGTAGAACTCCACCCACCGATGGTAACACCTTCGTGCTGTGCTATAGCGCTTATCAAACGTCGAGCCTTTGAGCCACCGCGATAAATGTAACGTACCACCTGTTCTACGCTCGATACCTACAAACGCGAGTATTGACGCAGGTGTGGCAGACAGGGTCAACATCCGGTTTCACACCTTTCCTCGCGGAGTCGTCTCCCTATCGCGAGATTGCTTTCTGTCGCGTCTCTCAAGACTAACGTTTACAGCTTACAACGGGCACTTAGCTCGGAACATTATCCCTTTAATCAGCTAACGATCTTCACTATCGATGATTAATAGCTACTTTCGCCTTTGAGACTGATTGGTAATTAATTAGAGAGCCGTTCCAGCCAATAGCTTGGTTAATATGTCCTACTTTACTGTTACAGACGCCGAAGCCTTCGGTAGCGCGTTTTTGCAGTCACCTCCGGAGACGTCCTCAGTGACGTCGCCTAATCGAAGTGTCGTCGACAGCGACAGTGACAGCACGTCGACGGAGCTGTGCGACGAGCCGGATCGCCTGAGTGACGTCGATAGCGAGGAGCTTACGTCAGCATCCGACTCTTACGTCATGGAGGACGAGAAGCATCCTCGCGTCGAGAGTTCGTCGACCTCGGGCAGCACACCTGTACGCTCGTACACGAAGGGCGAACCGACGACGACAACGATAGCGACGACGACAACGACGACGACAACGATCGAGGAACCGCGAACGGAGCCGGTTCTCGAACGCAGCGATGAGTCTCCGTCTCTGAGTGAGATCTCGATCGCTAAGATCACGGATCAAATACGAAGGCTCTCGGCAGAGGATGACAATAATACGACGGTTCCTCAGACATTGAGCGCGCGTGACAACGACGAGCTGTCAGTGGGCGATTTCTCGGTCCAGAGATCACAGTCGAAGGAAACGAAGCCGCGGGATTCTCTCGATTACACGCCCGTTGAGGACGCGGCGAGATCATCGTCGAAGACTGTCGCTAGTTACGACTACCTAAGCCTTAATTCTAATCTCGTCGAGGAAAAGACGGGCGACAGTCTGACGCACAGAACGGATCGACTGAAGAATCTGGAGGAAAAAGAAGAAGTCGTTCGGGCTAACAGCGAAGATAACATGGGCCTTAAGACGAATATCATGGAAAGCACCACGAGCATATTACTGGATAATTCTAATGTGTTGGAACAACCGAGCATCTCTTTAGATAGAAATTATGATAAATTCATCACGCCCTTGGACGTAGACAACAAGCCCTTAGAGTCCTCCTCGAGATTTTCCAGCAAGATTTACTTATCTTCAAGCAGCGTTCTCGACTCGAGCGACATCACGAAGAGCGAAGATGTTGCGAGTAGCAGAGCTTTGGACGTCGCTGCGGAACGGCCGTTTTACACCAAAAGATACGTTCTAGGACACTTGCCGATCTCCCCGATAACGATCGATAGCAAATTGACGAAAATGTCACACGACGTGCACAATGTCGCGTTAAAACCGGAAGACCTAACGAGTCCTGAAGTAATCTCAAAGAGACACACCTTTATCGGCGACAAGGAAACGGCGATACAGGCTAAGTCATATTGTGACTTGAAGAAGAGCCCAAAGTCTCCGGAAAGCACAAAGTCTTTCAGTTCCGGAGAGACCATGGGTCCCGACTCGAAACCCTCTAGTTTGACGGTGAGTCCGAGAACGCCGGTAAGATCGAGCTCACGCGACTTCGCAATGGACAAGTCTTCGGCGTGTTCATCGATCAGCTCGGACTCCAAGACCCTGATACTTCATTCTGCGGGTTCGGACATCGCGCATGACAGTCCGCGGCCGATCGTAATGAAGACGTCTTACGAGAAATCGAGCTCGTCGACTCCGATTAGCACGGACTCCTTGAAAAACAAGTCGGACACCAGTCCGAAGCTGGTGATCAGCAGCTCTAGCGACTCGTACAGCCCGGGTAAAATTAAGTCTTCCGAGAAGTCGTTTAGTTCGGACCTGCAGTCACCCGTGAGTGCCAACTCCATAAGGTATACTACCAACTACGGTAAACGCGGCCAAGACAACGTGTCAGACTCGCCGAATGACTTGAGCACCGCGACCTCGCCGTTCTACCCCATCGCGAATCCCAACCAGAAGACGCCGTCGCCGTACGGCATGGGCAAACGACGGTGCAGCGTGGACAGCGTCGACACGTCGCCAGATCAGAGGTCGATCAGCTCAAGGGACTCGGCCAAGTTGTCGGGCTATCAAGCGAAACTGGATCCTACCGCGAGACCGATTGAGGCTAAGGAAAGCACGTTCAGCGATGCGGTCTGCGAGAGGAGCGATCTGTTTGTTAGACCGCAATTCGCTCTGAGTGCAGAGCCGAGTGCACACGCTGAGCTGAGTTACACGGCGAGGGAGAAGAGCAGAGCCGAGCCGAGCTCTTACGAATTGATCGGCGGCGGCAGCGAGTCTTATCGTAAGTGCGAAGATCTCGCAGACGACAATGCAGACGATCCGCTGTCTGAGAAGGACGTGGTGCCTCAATTACCGCACGAGAAGCTCGACAAGCACTATCTTAATTACAGTTACAGGCGTCGGGATCGATCGAGGTTGACCGAGAGAAGTTCCAGCAGTTTAGAAAGTAGATTCACCGATGTAAAGTCGTCGACCTCGAGTGACGAGTTCAGCACGACCGTGGCGAAGAAACGATCTAGCGACATCCTGGAGGACATGAAGCACTTGGAAGCGAAAGCTTTTAGCGACGGTTCGCCCGATACGAATATGCTGTCGAAGAAGACGAGTGACATCTGGGAAGATATGAAGAATCTGGAGGCGAGGCGGCAAGATACCTTTAGCAATTCAGCGAGCGGTTTCTCGAAACGGCGGCTGGAGATCCCAGATATTAATATCACGAGCGAAGGCATAAAGTCTTACGTGGTGCATCCGAGGATTAACATCGACGAAAACAGCGACAGTATACTAAAGAGTATAGCCTGCAATAAGAACAACGGTGACGCAGACGACGGCAGGGAGTCGAAGGTGGGCGTGTGGACGAAGGTGAAACCGAGAAAGAAAGGCGACAACGGGCGCAGAAGTAGCGACAGGGCGTTGAAGATCATCCAGGAAAATTCAGCCATACTGCACAAGATCCTGGCTTGCCAAGCGAAGAAACGCCTACCGGATCTCGAGGAAATATCGAAGGAGATTACCATCAGTCCGATAAACGAGGAGATCTCCAAGATATTCAGTCCGATCCTCGAGAAGATGGGACTGAACGAGCACGAGATCAATGAAGAGTTGGCCAGAATCAATTTCAAAGACTTTGATAGCATGAGCGCAACCAGCGTGTCGGAGTTCGACGCTAAGATCAACGACGAGCTGTCGAAGCTCTCTCTTATCGACGACATGGAGCAGATCGATCATCTCGATGTTGATGAGATCTATCTGGACACTCGGGACGCGTTCATAGATCACAAGATAAACGAGGAGTTCTCCAAACTGCTGGCCAACTACGAGGAAGAATCGCCGCCGAGTATGATCAACCTGGAAAAAGGCTCATCCAGCCAAAACATAAGCGAGATTGAGGGCCTCGATCTCACCAGCATCTCCACGAACGTGTTCTCCTACAAGTCCTCCAACGACTCAATTGAAACGAGAAGCGATGTCGAGTCTGCACACGATGCAGTCGCGATTCAACCCGAGAGATTTCCGTACGCGGCGTCGAAAGTGTACGAACACGACATGTCCCCCAAAAGCGACATAGATATCTACAGGGAATTGGAGAAGCTGGACAAGATCTCGTCCGTTCATATCCTGCCGAAAACTCCTTTAAAAAAACGACTGTCCCCGATTATGTATGACGCCGCACCTTTCCCGGAAACGCCAGTCACGACGAGATACGCGCCCAAGACAAGCCCATTCGACACGTCGCCTTTGAAAAGCACTTACGAATCCTACAAGAGCTTCGACTTTTCGAACAGAATATCGCCACGGGAGAATTCCTATACGACGTACGAAAAGCCGGCAGACACTACATTCGAGTACACGGATCCCAAGCCGAAGATTTCGCTTGATTCGTACGACCTGCATCCGAAAGTACCGATATTGTCGAAGGAGTCATTGGAGTTTCGTGTGAGATACGATGATGAGAAGCAGCCAAGGCAGAACAGTGGCGAGTACGCGACTGTCCAGGACGGCAGAGCGACGGTTTCCTTGAACACGACGACCTCGTACTACGGTAAGGACAACAACAAAGCGGTCACGCCGACGAAATACGGCGGTAAGGAGGAGAAACGTCTAGACGTCGGTGACTATTCCAGCGAGTACAAGTCGGACAGGTCGGATCTGCTGCGTCACAAGTACGACACCTTGTCCCCAAAGGAATATTCTCACGCTCGAAGCACGGACTACGACAAACCTTTGAGCGTGCTACCGAACCTCATAGTGGAACCGGAGCCGGATATCGGTTCCTATCTGCCGACAAGACACCGCGACTACAACGTGCTGTCGCCCAATCGTCAATACAGAGATCAGTACTTCCCCAGCAGCCCGAATCATTACACCCCGAAACTCTCTCCGGATCTGGCGGAAGAGACGAAGAGACCGGCGGTCTTGCGCTCGGAATCGCCGGATAGCATCGACGTCAGCAAATACACGGATCTGATAAGCAAGGGATCGAACTGCTACAAGAAGTCGACATTGAGTCTCGGCAACATAGAAAATGCGGACAAGAGCGACGAGAACGCCGACAGCAGTCCGAGTCCAAAGACACACTTTAGTCCTTTCCCTGTTAAAAATCATTCTAGGAAGCCCAAAGAATTGACGCTGAAGCTGGGTCTCTACTCACCCAAAAGTTCCGAGTACGGACAATTGAAGAAGTCATAGTGCTCAGTGACTCGTCGACGCGATCGAGCTTCCAATCTACTTCATGGAAGTTTGCGCGCAAGTTGCTTCGCGAAAAGGGACATTCGTATTCGCTAGTCAATCGTTACGATAGATTCCTACACTGTAAGCGAGAGCAAGCGTCGTACATCGACGATGCAAGTTTCAGTGTGTCCTCTTCGCCCCCTTCATTCCCTTCCCTGTGTCGATTTTCCGAATTTTAACAAAGTGGGCCTAAATCGTCGCCTAATCATTCCTAGGTCGTGATTCTCGATACTGTTAGATGAATTAGGTGACGTAAGTTTAATTAACTAGCAACATGGTCGTAGATTTAAGACGACGATTAAACAAAGCGGAAAGTTGTACAAGTTCTTTCTTTCCTTCTTTTCATTGCTCGGTCGCGGACAGCTTCAAACTACTGTGAGCAGTTTTCTTTCGCTTTTCCTTTTCGTCAAATGGCGCGCAAGTCTGTCTGTTGGCGGAGATCAAATGCCGCGTTTAAATAACGCAGGAAGAAAGAAAGAAGAAACGAATGTACAGACTGCATCGTGTACTGTAATCGCGATAAGTGCGAAATAATATATCTCCGCGAATGCAATTAAATTTGGGAATATTGCTGAAATGATACGTCGTGCGTTGTTGACACGATTACGAAACAGCAAATCCCGGGCAAAGCAGATTAACGATGAATTCAATTACCACACCCAGTCGCAAACGTATACCCGCTTTCTCTCTCCTTTATTTCATCACTAAAAGGACAACTCTATGCATTTCACTGATATTCAAGTACTCGTGTTTATTCAGACGTGACATTAAAACAAAGCTCGAAAAACTTTGCGCGCACTTTACTCCAATGTTCTTACTGCACTTAAAACACTCGCATAAATGTAATGTCGCTAAATTTGCGGATGAAATGCCTTCGATTCCCTCCAATTGTCTACTATGCCAAAAATTTTCCTACTTGAGACGACTTCCAGACCGATTGCGATATCTATCATAGACTAACGCTTAACTAAGAATATCTTACGCCTTCTCGTGTCCTCTCTTAATTATGTCGTACTAACGGCCATTGTTACTGCGGGACGATACATTGGGAACGAACGACGAGCATCTATTGTAGTATGTGTGATTTCTCCTGTAAGGCGATACACGAGAGAAGAGAGAGAGAGAGAGAGGGACGCGACGTAAATTGACGAAAGCTGTCGAGATGGAGCTTAATTTGTTCGTATGTTTGCGCGAAACTGATCGTACGGATATACTTCTAAGCGAATTGTGCACTACAAATTAGACGATAAAGAGGAGACGCGTGGATTGTACATATATATAATTCCAGCTATATATTGTGTACTACATGCTACAAAACAACTTCAAGGGGTCCTTCTCTCAGAATCTTTTTATATAAAATAAAAGTAGTATTTTTAGAGATGTTTCTAATAAGAAGTATATATACATATACTATATTGCAGTATTGGGAACCAGCTTGCTTGAACGGGCAGCAGCTTAAGCGCGACTAGAAAAGAGCCTGTTGCTACAATTTTGAATCCTTGCTCATAAACGGCTTCAATATACAAACGAGATAAAAAAAAAAAAAATCGCGCATTAAGGGGACCCGCGCGGCACATTTTTCTATTTTATCGTAACGATTTGAACGTTTTGCTCTTATCGAAATATTTGATCGATCGGTTAACAGCGTGCTTGAGAATGTTAGGGAGATGCTTCAGTAACTCGCCTGTACAGAGTGTGCGGAGAAATCGTTGTATAATTCATTCCTCATCACCGCGTAATATTTCGCATCGACGCAAGTGAACCCAAGACGCAGCTTTACCGGTTAGCCTACTAGAATATTTCCAAAGATCACTTGGAGAATATTTGCCCAATCATCTGTGATAGTGTTTAGAGAACGAGAACACACGCAAGATCCTTGCGTGTTATACGACCCGAGAGCGCTGTATTACGACTCAGACCGACCACCAATTATTTCGTGTGTTATTTCACTGAGCTCAATGAAAAACCGCCGAAAAATTCACTTCAAACGTTGATCTTCACATTATCTGAAAATCGGAAAACGAGAGATCTACCAATGGTAATCATTTTTTTATGTGTGCTGTAATTACACATGCATTCTGAAGTCGGAGATTATTCAAAAGATTATTCATAATTTTTGAATTCACAATGACGATTTTTCGAAGAGATACCTCATTCCGTCAAAGAAAAATCCGGCACACTTTCCGTTCAACATTCTCCCTCACGTCCGTTTCATCCGACAACAACAATATACTTGTCAATTGCAAGCGTGCGATATATTATCGTGTAAGGAACTATCGATAAAGAGAGCAAACTGTCCGGCGCCTATACGAAGACGATGAAATTTGCCGGGACTTTTTGTCGTACGACGTTACGACGCAGTTTTCCTTGCGTAATAATTGCGTTGTCTAATTTATTAACAACCGTGTCACTGCACACGCGGGTGGCACTTGGTAAATGTATTTTCGCGTGCACGTTACGTTACACTCTGCAGAACGCATCTTACACATCCGGGACTTGAGCGCACGTGAGAATACCTATCAATTTTGTTTCGTTTCTATATCGCGCGTTGAATTGAGGAGATACGGTCGCATTCAGGAAATCCGAAAGTAGTTTCAGATGCCTGTGAAATCTAGAAAGTATTCGCGAAGGTGCTGAAACGGACGACGACGCGTTTAAATACAAAGATAGCCTGTATAATAGATAAGGGAATAGCTAATCGCTATCAGATAAATTGTAGTTAATAAGACCGCATCGTTGCGCACTGTTGCTAATGTTACACGAGATGTCGCGTTCCGCGCTCCTTCATCACCATCAGCATCATCATCATCCCACGTCCGAGGAGATTAGGTTCACTTTGTTAAACGCTTAACCTGAGGGAATAAAACCGCTCGACAATATGTACTGTTTCGGTTCAGTTTCGCGACGTTACTCAAGCTTCTCAGACGGGAGCGTTTTTCGATACTTGAAGACGCCGCCATACGTTGCAATTTAGACAAATGAATAGCGTTTTTCTACCGGATCGAGACGGCGGGACGGATCGATCAGTACACTGGGCAAAATGGTAAGACAAAGTGTGCAAAGCTCGGATGGAAATCTCGCATGGCGTGCGAGTGAAACGCAAATCCTACACGGAATAAAAAGGGATATGGTGCGCACAAAACGTTTAGTTGCGAACAGCATGGCTACATCAGCCCAGTTATCTTTGTGTGATGATAATGTATATGATTGATATGACTCAATTACTTTGGTACATCAGCTACATCGATGTAGACGCGCATGATCTGGTTGTGACAAGCAGAAATCGATCGGGGCGACATTTACCATGGATATATTCTGGTTGAAGTAACCAGATATCATTGCTGCTATTGCTGCAACGCCGGTAATTCAGCAATTGCTCCATGGTTGCTACGACCATACAATTAGTTGTTCCGTCTTACTATCGAAAGTTGGCAAAGCCAGATTTATGTGTGGATCGCGACCATACACTGTTTTTTTCCGTGTGGGCCCTCGTTCAGAAGGCAGAGGGCGGATGTATTTAAGCGTGTACGAAGTTGTTACGTGATGTTTTGCGAGAAATTATTGTATATACGTGACGAGTGCGAGAATTGTGCCAGATATAAGACTGTATATTTGAAACGCATAGCATGGTAAGTCGTTATGGATAAAAAACTGAATAAATATATTAAGAAAGCGAAACGACCGTGTGTGTGTTGCTTGTCACACCGGACGAGGAGATCGTTGAAATCGCAGTAGGATCGATTCCTACCCGGGAGGAAAAACTCGCGTACGTGTTGGAACACACGATCGACATTCCCCCGACGATACGAAATTCTCGAGTCGTTTTTATTGTTAGCTGTTATTTCAGTACTTCGCAGTTCCCCTGAGGACACCTCGATTAGCGCACATTTTCGACTCGGTGATACTCTGCTGCGCAGTAATAATAATTTTTTGCGTCCACTTTTTTGCGTTGATCTCGTGCGCTTTTATTTCTCAGTCCTGCCACGGAGCTCTGACCCCTTTAGGAAAATCTATCGCGCCACTATAGAGAGGCTCGAGGAAGCGTTCCATAAACGCATGATAACGACACACTCAGCGCGTGTTCGCGAGAACAAAAAAAAAGAAAAAAAGAAAAGAAGGCACGCACACACACCCTCTCGCATTTTTGCGCGTTACGCGAAGGGGCTGCTCGGTGGTCCGATTACCGTTCGCAAAACTGCTCGATCTCCCCGCAACGGCCGCGTACTCGTGCTCGAGTGGACATTTCATTTCGCTAACGTGATCACACGCACTCGTGCGTCGAGAATTGCGGATTCATTTTAATTGGTATTACATTTCAATTAAAATCTCGTCCCCATTAGAAGGCCGCGTCGAATTTCGAAGAGAGATAGTGTATGTGGGAGGTGGGCAGAATTGTGGGAGGAAGAGGCGAAACGATAAAGAGGGAGAGGGAGAGAGAGAGAGAGAGAGAGAGAGAGAGAGAGAGAGAGAGAGAGAGAGAGAGAG